GCATCTACTGGTGTTGATTCTCCGAGAGCGTCTGAGTTTCTGTTAATAAAATTCCCTCTCCCTCACCTGCCCTTTTCTGTAGCAGCGTTTTGTGGGGTCCATTTTTTTTTTAATCGGGAATTTCAGCGTGAATATAAAGTTCGTCCAATTTTCAATCCTCCAAAAGGACAATTGTCCTTTTCGTAAATATGCTTCTCGATATTGCTAAAATATCGTGTTAGATTTTTAAACTTGGATTTCATTGACAGGATTTCTGGAGCAGAAGATCTTGTTGAAGAGATTTATCAGACCACCCACAAAATACAGAAATATCTTTGAGATATTGCCAAGTTTGCTCTGAGGTGTGATAAATTCTGACAATGGGAGATCACTTTGTATTACTGGTTGATCGTTTGCTCACTGAATCCACATTAGAAGCTGCACTTGAAAGCAGAAATCGTGCAATGCAGGAGGCTGCATCCTCAGCTGTGAATGAAGCAGCAGAAGTTGATGTCTCTTTGATGAATACAGGGATGGAAGATGTGAAATCTCCGAGGAAATTGTTGAATGCCGGATTTGTCATGATGAGGATGAAAATTCCAATATGGAGACACCATGCTCTTGTTGTGGTAGTCTGAAGGTGAGTACAATTTCTTGAACATTCGCATGCTTTTATAATTTCTAGAACATGCTGAAGCTTCCTAGTAGACTCTGTAATTGTTCTTTTCACCTCAGGCCTGAATTCTATCTTGAATTAATGGAAAATCAAGTGACTTGTGAGATTCCTTATTTCTCTTGTAACATTTGTAGTGACTTTTCTATATTCGATTGAATGTTCTAAGTCTGTAAAAGTTTCTGTTGATTGCTAATTCACTCTTATTGTTGGAAAGATGAATGCCATGTATACAACAATGGGACTGCTGCCACTAAAGATAGTTTGAAGGATTTTGGTGGAGTCCAGGGCATATTGTCTGAGAAGTTAATTTGCCATTATGATTCTGTCTCCATTTTGTTTCACACGCTACGGAGAAATGTGCATATCAGGGAGACTGATTAGAAGCTTTATAAATTTTTAGGTGAACCTGCTCTTGAAATGGCACTGTTCCACTCATTCTACAAAAGATGAAGTGACACAAACCATAAGAGATGGGTCCTACTGAAAAGTGTGACCTATTTGTGTTTAATGATTAGCTTAGTCTACTTGTCTTTAGTTGATTGAATCCTATTTTTTTTCCCCTCTTCTTGTAAGCTTTTGCTTTCATGATTATATTTCTGGAAGAATTACAGCTTTTATGTTCTTTTTGGACGTCATGCAATCTACTCTGACCGTTGCTCTGACATGCTATTACTAGGTAGACTCTCATGTAACATGTCAAAGTTTCGTAAAGGCCATTGGAGCTTAAGTTAGTCTATTACAATTTACAAGCATTATTGCAGTCAACTCAATTTGCATGCCATATAACATGATCTGAGCAGTAAGATGGACTTTGAAATACCTATACTCGGCATATTTTTGTTTGCCTTAGTGTGTTAAGTAATTCTAGTGGTTCTAAATGGTTCCTGTTGTCCATTCCTTTTTTCTTTTCTTTTTTTTTCCCTTGGCGTGTATACTTCTAAAGAAACTGTTCCCTAGTCTCTTTTATTCATGTTCCTATTCTTTGGTTGTTGGATCTTGAGAAGTTGTAAATACTTTAGTTCCCTATTTGACTGAAGTCAGTTGTTGTTTGACCATTCATAATGAATGAGTGTTAAGTGGGGCTATATATGTAAAAATTGAAAATTATTTGGGTCTCAGGATTATTAACATTGCAGAATATTTTGTGCAAGTTCATTTTTCCTCATCTGAAATTGATAGTTTACACTTTCTACACTCAAGTTATTGATTATTTTTGCAGTACGCACACCGCAGATGTATACAAAGGTGGTGTAATGAGAAGGGTGACACCATCTGTGAGATATGCCACCAGGTAACTAGAAATTTTTCCAGTTGTTATGCTCTCACCTACCCTCTACTTCCTCGAAAAATTAATCAAATGAAACAGTATTCGGTTTATTTGGGAGTATCACATCGTTTTCACTTTGTTGTTGGTATTCTTAATACTTATTCCCTGGAAAATGAAATCAAAGCTATTCTTCAATTGAGTTTCAGCACTATAAACCTGGTTATACCGCTCCACCTCCATTATTTCAATTTGGACGAATTCCAATGAGTTTCAGGTAACTTCTTTAACATATACAGTGTTTAAGTCTTGTCAATGTATCAGTAAAACAATTATCTTTTCCTCCTCTATGTCTTTAATGTGTTCATGTGCTGTCTATGTTAGGGGAAATTGGGAGATTTCTAGAAGAGATTTGAACAATGGTCATTTGGTTCGCATGGTTTCCACTAACCAGAATCTTAACAATTCTAACTACGACCAGTATTCAGCTCCTACTGCGGGAAGTTTACTATGCTGCCGTTCAGTTGCTCTCATTGTATATTCTTTCTCTGCCCCATCTACACCTTCTTACTAGTTTCACCACCGACAAGCGATGTCTCTTTCTGATCTTTGCTATTTTTTATTTTTTTTTTAATGTGCAGTGCATGATTTTGATTATTCTAAGACATACTCTTCCTTTCATGATCGGTGGAAACAAGGACTATTCCTTTTCACTGTTTTTGGTATGCTTGATTCACTCTCTACAATATGCTCATTTGATGGTATAAGACTATTAGGTACCCTTACTAAGCGTGGATCAATTCAATTGGAAATTGGCAGTTGTTACTAATTCGAACTGCGGGTATTGTTATTCCTATATATTTCATGGTGAAAGCAGTGACATCTATACAACGCCATCGGCGACAACAACGGGTATGTTTGACCTTTTTCTTCCTCTTTACCATGTTTGAACATTTATACGAAGCATCTAATTACATATTGTGAGGTCTCTTGTGTTCTTGTTTGCTGCTGGGGATATTTAGGAGCCTCCTAATGCCTTGGTCAACCTATCAGACGATGAAAGCGAGCAAGTAGCTTTGCCATCTCAGCTTCATGTTATTCGTGTTCAGTGAAAATGCTGCACATAACAAAACAGGATCAAGCAATCTCTCTTCTGCTTTGTGATGAAAACTAGATAAAGAAAGCTTCCTTTAGAACTTGGAGTGGTTGAGGAGTTAGAATTTTATTGACCGGAAAATACAAAAACTGTTGCATTCATTGCTGGCCACTGCTATAACCTGGAAGCAACTCCTTGGCAACTCTGATGTGTCGGCAAGAATCATCATTGCTGCTTATAGCTGAAGTTATGAAGAATCTGAACAGTGTATAGAGAATTTTATAGTTTAGTTGGGGGGAAGTACTGGGGTAAATATCAAATACGGAGGAATATTCCTGTATATATTATAATGCAAAATTTGCTCCTTTGCGACTTTAATTTCAGTTTTATTTGCTGGCCTCCTTAAAAATGTTTTCTTTTCATGCTTTTCGCCTCAGTTATTGACACATTTAATGAGCCTGACATAGAAGATGATGTGTCTGTATCATCCAGTTATTGATAGATTCACTCCTGTAAATGTTTGTTTCCTCCCAATTATGAATAAGTCACATGTTAGCATTGTCTATGTTGATGTTTTTTTTTTTTTTTTTGCCAGAACTATGTTGATGTTTGAAAGCCAGAATTTAAACTGGAAAACTCAGTGGGCCTTGATATAGTGATATGATAATTAAATAAAAATAATATTAACTGTGTATATAAAATATATTTCTCTTGTTTTATTTATTAATTTATAAGTTATTTTTAACATGTTTTTGTTCAAAATTCAAAATTAAAGAAAATTTTAAAACTCATTAATCCTATCTAAAAAAATTAAAAAATGTTTAACTTTACTCATGTTAAGTATGCATTCTTTAATAACATTTTTTCTCACTAACATTTAATATAGAATAAAGAAGAAAATAATAGAAATAAATAAATTAAGAGCATAACTTGTAAATACAAAAAAAAAAAATCATTGTCCCTTTGCTTTATAAATAGGACTAAAGAAAGCATATAAGAAATAAACTCACAATATCTCTAGTTTATTAATATCACATGACTACAAATTAATAATATTTTTGATTAAATGATACACAAGTAGGCTCAAAAGCATTAGCATTTATATACATGTAAAAGGTACAAAAGTGAAACCAACTTAGTAGAGTCCAATTTTTGAATTTTCTGGTTTTTTTAGATGTTTAGCCCTTTTTATGTTATATTTAGATCCTCTAATTTCCTTAAAAACTGTTCCAAATTTCCTTTTTTTTTTTTTTTGCCAAAGGTGAATCACATTAACGCCAAAAGGCAGAGTACAGCAAAACGGTTCCAATTTCTGTCTCCATGGAAACTCAACTCTGCTCCAACTTGGCTCGACAATGAAAACAATTTTTCTTTTTTTTGGTCTAAATCAAGCCATTAACCCCTACAACGGTGAAACCAGTCTAACCATTTGATTCTTAAAACAAAGATATGAACTTTTTTTCTTGACCACAGTTTCAAAAGTAACTGCGTATATATGAATAGTTGGTTCGAAATGATTACCTAAAGAAATCAATCAAACTGTCAACAGTTGAACTATAAGTGAAAATCATGTTATACATGTCTGGTATGTAATGACCTATATAAAGTAATAGTCTTGTGCTCTACAGTAGCTGTTCATTGCAAAAAAGCAACTATAAATTTATACAGCAAAAATGTTACACTCGTGTGTAATTGTAGGAACTGCATACTTAGTGAATATTATTAATTTTGTACAGTAATTCAAATTGCTCACATAGAGCAAGAAATGTATTCTATATAATTCAAAGAAGCTATCAAAGTATCATGAAGGGCTTTGACCATAAGCTGCATTTCTACAGGAAGCTGGTATTCAATACTAGCCTGTCAGTTCTACTTCCAAGTTCTCCTTGGCCTGAAAGCATTGGAAAACAAGAGAAATAAATAACTCAACTCTATTCACTAATGTTGTGTAATTGTAATTACGGAATAATTAGTTGGTTTGATAAATAGCCATTGATATTAGTTAATACACCCGTTAGGGGGGTAGGCGGGGATTAGAGTCTATACATAAGAAAAATACCTATGTAAATCATGCCATGCTCTTCTAGTATGTTTCACACTATTCAGTAAATCCTTTGTCTCTCTCCTCTCTCTCAATCCTCTGAACTCTCTCCTCCTCTGTTCTTCTCTCCTCTTTCTCTCTAATTCTCTTTCATTCCAAATTATACTCCTCTGTCAACTAACTTTTTAGGTCATTAGTTCAATCATTTGGTAATTAACCAAATAGTTTTAAATTAGTATTATTTTAAAATAAATATATTTGAAAGGGAGACAAAAGCACTACACTACATGTCAATATGACAGATTAGAAAGTAGATATAGAGCCATTGAAATAAATAAATATGCATGCATGTACGTATGTTCAACCACAAGATTAAACTGCAAAAGCTGTCTATTTGTTGGAAATGAATTGCTTATATGGCTGGTTCACTCAGTGAATAGATCTGGCTGGTCCAGGTCCTATAACTATCTATTACCCCCTCATCCTCTGTAATTTCTCAGGCCACCCAGTTGTTAGTTAAGATTTTGATTACTCTTCTAATTATCAAATGTTCTTTAAAGAGAATAGGCGGAGGAAATACTTGCGGCTTTTCTGCAGTGAACGCCAGTAGCAAGCAAGTGCTCCAAAACCACAGCTAGCAACAGCAATTGCCATTGCAGCTCCTATAGGCACAACCACTGCATTAGTTGATGCTATTAATTCTTCAACAGCCACCTCAATCCCTTCATTTCCACCAAAGTTCTTGTCCTTGTATAGAGAAGTGAGCATGTTGCCGTAATAACTAGTTAAAAACTTGTAAACCTCATCCTTGTTCCACGCGATTTGGTTGTCCTTCTGGTCATGGACAGAATAACAGGAAGAACAAAGCTGCTTTGGAGGCCATATCTGCTTAGGGAATTTGGGGTCGCCGGTACCTAGAGCTGCTTCTTCTTTCCTCAGCCTCTCGTTGGCCTTGTTATGAGCATTCCACAACCAGAGTGCGAAATCTTTGGCTTTATTGAAAGGACTTGAGACACTGAAAATTAAGGTCATTTAAATATTAGAAGGGGACAAGAGAGAGGGAACTTCAATGATACATACACGGATAATTCTTTACTCCTTCACCTCAAACACATCTTATAAAAGTGCTGTCGACATTCCTCACAGATGAAGAAGTTGTGGATAAATTCACATGTAGTGTTAAATGCAAACTCACTCTCTCCATCATCAATTCTCACTGAAAGTGAATGCAGCAGAACCCATAAACCACAGCTGAAAAAGGGGAGAAAGAATGAGAAAACAGGCTATACCATATATATGATACTAAAATACTTTGTAGTCTAAAGTATGCAGAACCAAAGGTCATTGACGAGGTCCCATCTTGTTATAAACTGTGACCTCCCTTTCTTGTCGTTGAAGGGAACATTGCTTCCCATCCCCCACGTGTCCCCTTCACAACTAATCACTTCACCTTCTCTTTTGTTTATTCCTCACCGAATCAAAATCAAAATGTTGTCCCGAACCAAACTTTAACTCCCCTAATAATTTCACCCCCCACTCTTGTTTTATGCAAATACAATATCCTTGTTCACAATCATCTCTTCCACAGTCATCTTATATAATATATTAGCTGACTCCAAAATACATAACTTACTAGTTATAATATGAAAAGCAGCAAGCCAATTCTCATGCATATAATAGCACGTACTGATACATTGCACGCATTGATACATCAGTATAAGAACGTCTGGACAAGGAAATTCACATGCTAGGAAACCCACAGGTAACAAAAGTAACAGAATTGTGTGGATGTTATGAGGAAACTGAATGTGTTGACTGACTAGTTATGGAATCAGAAATCATAGTTATGAGTATTAAAGGCAAAGCATTACCTAAAACCCCTGGTTTCGTTCTTACTGCCACGGCAGAACATCTACCAAGAAGGAAAAAAAGATTAAATATGAAAATCAGAAATATTCTCATTTTAGGGAAAAAAAAATATTCAAATTTCATGTAAAAAGACGATACTAATAAGATTGACGGATAAAAGAATGCATCTCGTACAGTATTATCACGCCAATGCTTTTAATAGTTTAATAAACAATTTTCTATCCCAACACTATGGACCACCTCCATGACAACTCTATTATTTTCCATATGAGGCAGACTCCAATTCTAAGTATTGATATTTCAAATGAAAGACAGAATCCTCTCGCTTTGCCATACACATGTCCCATTCCAGCTTTACTATCATTTCCTCCATTGCATCTTTACTCTCAAATTCATACACAGGGACATCAGTATTCACTTTGGTACATTGACTCCTGTAATTGCAGCTTCTTTCTTAAAATTTATCTACTCCATGTCTAATTCTAACGGTTGACCACTCAAAGTAAAATATGGAAAATATAGAAATCTTCAACCTACTTGAGTCATGGTCCCATGGAAAGACCATGTACCCCCTCAAACAGCAACAGATCTGTGAATAAAAATGAGTTGCTATCTCTATCTCACTTCGTATGTTAAATTAAAGAATAGCAGGCTGAAACAATGCTAAAGCAGAAAGTGGTATTTGAATAACGAGCAATTCTTATCATGCTAAATCTTCTTAGATATTGACAACAAATCATGTAAGACATATATTAGTATCAGAATTTTGTCCAGCAATATTTAGGGGTAATATTAATATAATTTTTTCACAAGATGAAACCACAGTCAACAGCCACTGAAACACTCCATTGAAGTATTGAAATCCTTCTTGGAAACATTTCGACTAAATATAGCCCAGGAAAAAGTAAGTTACAGAAAGATATAAAGAATCAGAGTTTCATCAGTTTCAGATTCATGTGAATCCAGTCTTCAAAGTACTCATTGAAGACAACAATAGGCCACTCGCAATATAAACACACACACACACACACACAAATTTGGAGTGTTGCCCATGCCAAAAATAATACAAACTCCAATTAGAGCATAATAGAAATGTTAAAAATATTGAATCCAAGTATGAAGAACCTACCCAATACCCACGAGGCACCCCTTTTCCACAAACTTGAGAGCTCATCAATGTAACCATATCATCTTGCTGCTTATCAGCTGGCCGCAAATCTGTAGGGTACAATTCATCAAAATTCACAAGTAATTCTGCAGTACCCCTCCGGCATCTGAAACAAATTATCCACAGTGGAAAGAATTGTAAAACAAAACAATGGACAGACAGAAGAAAGGTGCAGTAGAAGGTTCATCTAACTTTTTTGAAGGATGGTGAGCCACCAAAAACTGAAGAAACTTTACAAGTGAAGCACGAGTTTCTTGCTTTATCATCTGCATATTAGAAAGTATACATGTCTGATCATGCCCCAAGACCGAGCACAAACACAAGTGAGATTGGAAAGAGAGAAATCATGACTGGTTACCTTACGCTCTAAGATGATGTCAAAGGCCTTAGAAGTTGCCTCTTCAACATCATAAATAGCTCTGGCAATCTTTCAAAGTCATGCATGTCATTTGTCAGGAGGAGATAAGGTTATGAGAAGCAACTTTGACTAAACTTCAAAACATAATGAATTTAGGGCGAAATTGAAAAAGCACCTGTCCAGGGTCTGACACATTGGAGGAAAGATGCTCATTTTCAAACTTCTGATCATCAAGTTCAAATGAACTGTAATATTTTAAATCTTATAAGTTACAGACAAGAAAATGAGTTCAAGATAACTTTATATCATCAGCAAGATATAGTATTACAACTTTTAAGTTCCACAAGAAAAAGTGACATGGTATTGCACTTATTTATTCTGATTTTTTCTTTATACAGCTTTATCTCCAGTACATAAATTTCTAACAATAGTAAAATAATCCTATGAACGTGCATGAAATTACATACTTAATGAATTTATTAATCATGCAAATTTCACACTGGCTTTGTCAAACAATGGCAATTGCAATAACATGTCATTGGCAAATTGCAATTCTCTACATTTGGCTCTTGCAACAATTGTATGCATGGCACTCCAACGATTTGAAGTCAATATCAGAATTATTTGATTGGATATAAAACATCTCAGTGGTCTATTTGCCAACTTCGATAGATAGAAACAAAATCAGTTTATTTTTCTCTCTTTCTCTTTGTTTTGTTTTATTTGTGTGTGTGTTTTCACAACTGGGGAAAAGTGAGTTGAAAGTGAGAAGGCCCAATGTTTTTAACAATCACGTTTTTGCTTCGTTCATTAGAAGTCACTCCATATAATGGTTATTTCCTATTATCAAAAAGAAAACTTTAGCACTCCCAACATCAAAAGCTGCACTAAAGGATGATAAACTCCACCCGCCAACCAGGATGACTTCAATAAGCTAAAGGAGAGAAGTACAGAAAAGAATAGAGGGGCAAGGGGGAAGACTCCGACAATAAACAAAAACAAGAGACAGAAAGAAACATTCTTAAGAATATTCTTCCAAGGCTTGTCCTAGTTTTCTGCCATTGTCCAGAATTTCTATCTAGCCTTCTAGGTCATTTGCTGAACCTGTTGCGCCGCTACAGAACCAACTCCGACATGTTTGACTCAGTTACCCTTCATTATTCTTATAAAAGGCTAAATTAATCTGGCAGTAGTAGTATACATCCTTTCACCTGCTCTGACTTCAAGAAAATATAGTGAATGAGAAAAATTAACCTAGTTTTCAACAAAAAAAAAGTGGAGTTACATTTCAGTACTTTTACCCTTCCTTTTCTCCAGTGTAGTACTTGAAATTAATAAGAAGATTCATGTACACAAAGATACACATACATAATGGTGGAACTTGTGATTCTGACACATCTCCCCCTAGTAAAATCAAAGGACATTCATCCCCTTCAATCTTTTGGACATTGATCAATATATTGACATAAAAAATAAATTCTATAACAAGTTACAAGTCACTATCCACTGGTTGTATAACTCATTTCTACTCCAAGCAATGCATGGGAAAACATGTCCAGTTTAAAAATGATCTGACAAGTTTTATATTGGACAATATTCATAGTTCACATACGATATTGTAATTGCATTAACAGTAAATGAATGCATTCCTCATACCTGCCCATTTGCTTGTTGATCCAATTTAGCAATCGATCAGCTGTGCGTCCATTATCGATTGCATGTATATCACTTTTCTTTTGATTAGGTTCCCAACTACCACCAACAAATTTAGAAGGAGGGCCCCAAAAGAGCATAGGATAATGACTAACAGAAAACTTATCACAGAGATTTGTATTTATCTGTGCTGCCAAACAAGTGAAAATAGGAAGGACTGATCACCAAGGCTTGTTTATTTATGAAACTAACCTATTTCAAAGTTAATGACTACAACTGAAGCAGAAGCAACATGTTAATACTCAAGCATGTATTACAGCAGTTGTTGCAAATAATAATTAATCAAGCACAAGTAAGAAATTTAAATAAGGAAACACAATGAATGAGACACTGAAACACTTCATAAAAAATGCATTTCCATAAAAATTAGAGTAAGATACTCACAATACCCTTCTATTTTGGTCTCATCACAGAGATCTCTCCTCTATTTTGAGAATATAGACTTTAGTCCAATTTATTAACATCGTCAAGAATATTTATACAAGATTCTAAATATTTTTTAATTAAAAATTATATTGAAACAAGTTTTATTCAATAATTTACCCTCACTATACTAAATCCCTAATTAATCTAAATCTATTATCAATTTCAAAGTTCCCAGTGAAAACTGGCAGCAGAGGAAGAAAAGGCATGACAACTACAGCAAAAGCAACAACGAAACCAAGCAAAGAGGTGATCTGAAGGGAGGACAATGCATCTACAAACAGAGACAAGTTTCGTGCAACTACTTTCCACCTTTTCCATACATATGGCTACTGACTAATTCATCCACTCCTTTTAATTCTATTTGATCCTCATATATATATAACTTACCTTCCATCTTTTCGATATCAATATATCCTCTGATTGGAGAAAAATCACTGCATAGTACTTCATGATTTATTCGTATAGTTGAAGACAAGTGTAGGCTAAGTAAATTAGTGGACAATAGTCATTTAACCCAAAAGCATGTTTAACAATTGTCTTGAGTGTTCATATGAGAAATTGGAGCGCCTCCATCATTGCTATCTGGTTTTAAAATGAACAAAGTAATCACACTTTTAGCCCGATCGGACTAGACTAGTTGTATGGCTAGATTTTCATAATCTGGCAAAAAATTGAAAAATACAAATGATTCAAAAATATTTTAAAGGATTGCTAAATAAATGTATCTAAAGATATTAAAGTTATAAAATTAATCAACTTTATAACATGATCAAAATTCAGTTTTAGAATATAATAAAAAAGTTTAATCATGTGGTTGAATGGTTAACTAACAATTGGATAGATGTAAATGGAATATTAAAAATAGAGAGGAGGTCTATGTAACAAAACTTTTAATTTTGGGGGAGGTCTATTTAAATTTTCAAAATAGAAGGGAGGTTTCTATAATTAAGGTAAGATGGAGGGGAGAACAATGTCAAAGGAGAAGGAGAAGAAGATATTTTGATTTTAAACTACCTTGTTATTTTCAATAACAATGTCATGGATCAATTCATTACAAAAACAGCTACGTGAAGGACCATGTGTATTTTTTTTTTTTTTTTTAAGGTGAGGCCACTAGTAGTTAACGGGCTCATTTGTTTAAGATTAAAAAATAATTAATGTTTATACAGTTTAGAGATTTTATAAAAAAATGATTTATTTAACAGAGATATTGAAAAAATCAGAAATTATTTGATGTTTGGTTAAAATCATAAGAATCACTTTTTTCTATAGGATTCATCCTCAACACATTTTCAAAAATATTCCATTTTTTTTATCATTGCATTTTGCCTTATATTACACAAGGAGAAAAGTCAAAGACAAAAGGCAGGCTGTGGCAATCAGCCTCCCCGTCCATCTCTGCAGAGTAGGTGCTTCCTTCCAACGACTCATCCATTCTGTGAGGATACTTCCTATGGTAGAACGAAAAGTAAGGTAGAATTGGATTAGGAGGTGGTGGGTCATATCGAAACCATTGTTAAAGTCCTCGCTATAGGGAGGTGGAGGAAATAAACAAATTGAGATGTTTAACATTTATCGCCAAGATCACGCAAAATAAAGCATAGTGGGAGATTGGAGGAGACTGAAATATGAACACTGAGAAAAAGAAGACATTGTGGAGTGAGAGACTGATGATTTAGTCCTTCTGTGAAAATAGCCATGTCCGTCACAGTTTTCTCTCTCTTCTAGGATACTGCTTTTTTTCAAAAAGCTACTCTTGTTAGCTTGTTCAAATAATCTGATATCTGATTATTTTCAGATTCTGATTATTTTTACAATTTTAAACAACCACCAAAAACTTTGCTATGAGTGATTATTTTTTTAAAAAAAGTGCTTTTTAGGCCCAACATCTATAAACCTCTTCACATGAAGGCATCTAAGTTTAAATCCGGAAAAAGATCAGGTTCATTATTCTTTGCAATGAAAATTTTAATTAAGATAGGGAGCAGTAAGAATCAAACTCTTGACCACTTGGTTATAGAGGTTCCAATACTTTGTCAAATATATTAAGCTATGAAAGGAGGGCCAAAATAGTTTTATTACAATCTCTAACAAGTGAGAGGACAAAGAATGCATCTTAAAAGGGACAAAAAAAATAAAACTGACTTTCTACAAGAAACTATAAAATTAAGAGATACTAATGTACACCAAAGAGTGGCAAGGTTGCTTCATGGGGTGGGTCCAAAGAGTACTCAGAATGCTGAGATCTCATAGGTTGAAATTATTTTTTCAGCTGAAATCTTAAGGTTAATTTGTCCATGTGGTAATATAAATGTGTCTTGTGATAAGATTTTCAAAATATATCAATGTCTCTCCTAATGAAACACAGAAAAAGGAATCTTTCACACAACTTGTGAACTGTTAAATAGTAGTGGGGAGAATACGTTAAGCTTCCTATACATAGAGTAGAGTAGAGAACATGTATGGTCAGAAATGAACTGCATCCTACAACATAGCTTGGCCCCAAGTAACATTCAATTCTACCATGATAATTGGCTTTATTTTGCTTCTGACACTGAATTTCCTCATAAAAAAAAGTCATGTAGAATGGGAACAACAAATCACAGAAAAATCTTCTAACCCCCCAAGTTATTCTAAATCAAACCAACTTCAAAACATAAATCCCAACATAAAAAATATGACTATGGAGGACTTAAACAATCCAAATCATTTTAAGACAAGCAACCCAAGCACAAGACTGACAAAAATAAAACAGGATAGCTAATCCCACTAGAAGTAATATATCACAGGGCCCAAAGAACTGAATGGGATAATCCCAAATAACTAATCAGTAAAACTCCCAAATGATGGCAAGAAAGTAACTTGTACAATTCGAATAAACATTAAAACACAATTGAAACAAAGTAATAGAAGATGCACTTACCTTCACTGCACAATCTACCCTTGTCATTAATATGATCCCTGGATGTGCAGCATTAGGTCCATTAAAAAGCCGTGCAACCTTTTCATAGTGCGGCTGTAATAGAAATTGAAAATGAGAATAACAATAGTTCCAAACTATTAATTAAATAACCCTCAAATTTTAAACTATATTTTGGTAAGTAGTACCTTATAATTCCTGCAAGCAGGACACCTGACAGAAAAATAAGGACACATGGAAAATTAGAATCTATCGATACCCATATTTCATGGTTGTTAATCTAACAACATGCAGAAAGAACTTGTAGCGAAATCTCCTATGAAGGAATTTAAAAATTAGGAAAAATTAATTATTTGGTCATTGTAGTTTTCACTTTATTATAACTCAATCCCTAAACTATAATTTGTTATAATTCAATTTCTAAACTTTGCCTCTTATAGATCAGTCTTTATAATTTTAACTATTTAAATATTGGTCATTATATTTTAAAAAATAAAATTATAAAGATTAAAAATATTTTAAACTGTTAATATGTATAATATTTATATAGATTGAAAGGTTTAGTAATTTAAAATATTAGTCATAACTTTTAACATAATTTTAATCTTTATATTTTTATTTTTTAAGATATAAGAACCAATATTTAAATGATTAAAGATATAAGAACTGAGTTACAAGAGTCAAAATTTAAAAACTAAGTTATAATTGAGTCAAAACTACAAGGACCAAATGAATAATTTTCCCTAAAAACTAAGTTGAACTGGATGATAAAAGAGCTAATTTTTTGTTTTCAGATTTTTGTTCCTAAGCTACTATCTTAATTCTTAACTGCATAGAGAGATGCTTGGAGCAAAGGCCAATACTATGTTTAACAAAAATAAACACAAAGAAGCAATATTTTATCAAGAAAAACCAAAAGAATAAAGTGGAACAGTGGAAAACAACTTGGTAGGTTTGACTGAATTGAGTATCTCTATGAGTCAATGAACAGCTTGATAACTAAGACAAGGATGAAAACAACCAAGCACGTTGTTGACTAATAAGATGTTTGTTGATAAAATTGTAAGCTAAAATAATGAGTTATGCTGCCTGTAGAAAGCTAATAAATTTCACGCTAATGCATTATTTATGTATGATAACTCCGCCTATGTTTATAGCCGGTCCCAAGCCCGGGTAAAGGAGGAGGGTTGTGTTAGGCCATCAACAGCCAATGTAAAAATTTGTTGAATCTATCATGAACATGGACAATAGACGTTATAATGTTAATGCTAGGTCGTTGCCCGTAAGTAACGCGCTGCATGGCTCGAGTACAGTGATAAGTGAGTTAGAGCCGCTGCATCGGCGCCCGGATGTAGTGTTAAATGAGCAAGGGCTACCGTGTCATTCTGGACGCACGCGGCTAAAGAAGTTAGTCCATAAGAGCAAAATTAGATTTGGTACTTGGAATGTTGGGACATTAAATTGTAAATCTGTAGAGGTTGTAGGGGTTATGATTCAAAGGAAAATCAATATCCTTTGCTTGCAAGAAACAAAATGGCGTGGAGAAAAAGCTAAGGATATTCAAGGTTTCAAACTTTGGTATACAGGAAAAGTAAGTGCACGCAATGGAGTAGGCATCATTATAGATAAGGAGTGGAAGAAGAACGTTGTAGAAGTTAGCAGAATTGGAGACAGAATTATTTCTTTAAAAATGATAATTGGACGTGAGACTGTTAATATTGTTAGCGCTTATGCGCCGCAAGTCGGGATAGAAGCCAGTCTTAAGGAATTATTTTGGGAGGATCTGGAGGGGTTGATTCGACACATACCACAGAGTGAAAAGATTTTTATTGGAGGAGACTTTAATGGGCATGTCGGGAGGGAAGCTGGTCAGTATGCGAGGGTGCATGGTGGTTTTGGTTTTGGAGAGCTAAACAATGAAGGGCAAACTCTTCTTGATTTCTCATTGGCGTATGATTTTAAGATTGCCAACACTTGTTTCAAGAAGAGAGATGAGCATCTCATCACCTACAAAAGTGGAGCCTCAAGGTCGCAGATTGATTTTCTTTTGGTTAGGAACACAGATAGAAAACTTTGTAAAAATTGTAAGGTGATCCCTGGAGATGCTGTAACGACACAACATAGGGTCCTAGTCCTTGATGTGTGTATTATGAGTAAAATCCAAAAACGTCGACAAGTAGTAACACCAAGGATTAGGTGGTGGCAATTAAAAGGTGAGAAGCAAGATATTTTCAAGCGAAATCTTTTGGATAAAGGAATTTGGGATTCTCAGGGAAGTGCTAACATCATATGGGAGGATATGGCTAAAAAGATACGGGAGGTTGCAAAAGTAGTTTTGGGAGAATCGAAAGGTCCTGGTCCGAGAGATAAGGAGTCTTGGTGGTGGAATAATAGTGTACAGGACAAAATCAAGTATAAGAAGAACTGTTTTAAAGCCATACATTTGTGTAACAATGAGGAAAATTGGGAGAGGTACCGTATGGCTAAGAAGGAAACTAAGAGAGCTGTGGGTGAAGCTCGTTCTAAAGCTTTTGAAGAATTTTATAAGAACCTTGAGACGAAGGAAGGAGAGCAAAATATTTATAAGATTGCCAAGAGTAGGGAAAGAAAATCAAGAGATCTAGAACAGGTAAGGTGTATTAAGGATGAAGAGGGAAGAATTTTAGTTACAGATGATGAAATTAAAAATAGATGGGAGACTTATTTTTCTAAACTTTTCAATGATGGAGAGGATTCATCTAGTAACTTGGAGGATTTAGTAACTGGTGAAGGAGAACAAAATTTGTCATTCTATCGAAAAATACGTGATAAGGAGGTAAAGGAAGCTCTTAAGAAAATGGCAAATGGTAGAGCTAACGGACCTGATTGTATATCTATCGAAGCGTGGAAATGTTTAGGTGAAGAAGGGGTGAGATGGTTAACTAAGTTATTTAATGTGATTTTACGGTCCAAGAAAATGCCTGATGAGTGGAGGAGAAGTACATTAATTCCTATTTATAAAAATAAAGGAGATATTCAGAATTGTACTAACTATAGAGGGATTAAACTCATGAGCCACACAATGAAATTGTGGGAGAAAGTAATTGAGCACAGGTTGAGATTGGAGACAAGTATTTCTGAGAATCAATTTGGTTTTATGCCAGGTAGATCAACTACAGAGGCGATTTATCTACTAAGGGGATTAATGGAAAAGTATCGTTGTAAAAATAAAGATCTACACATGGTTTTTATTGATTTGGAAAAAGCTTATGACCGTATACCAAGAGAAGTGCTTTGGAAAGCGTTGGAAAAAAAGGGAGTACGGATTGCTTATATTAAAGCCATACAAGATATGTATGAGGGGTAAAAACTAGTATAAGAACGCCTAGTGGTCAAACAAAGGATTTTCCTATAAAGATTGGGCTACATCAGGGATCATCTCTGAGTCCTTATTTGTTCAACTTGATTTTAAATGTTTTGACGGAACATATTCAAGAGGAAATCCCGAAATGTATGCTCTTCGCGGATGATATAGTTCTTATAGCAGAGACAAGAGAAGAGGTTAATTGCAAACTTGAGTTATGGAGGAGGACATTGGAGTCGAAAGGTTTTCGTCTGAGTAGAAGTAAGACGGAATATTTATATTGTAAATTTGATAAAGGACTATTCGAAAATAATTTGGAAGTGAAATTGGGAGATCAAATTATACCTCAAGTGGAAAAGTTTAGATATTTGGGAGCCATTATCCAAAATGATGGCGAAATCAGTGGAGATATTTCACATAGAATTCAAGCTGGGTGGTTTAATTGGAGAAAAGCTAAAGGAGTTATTTGTGACCGTAAGGTGCCTAATAAACTTAAAGGAAAGTTTTATCGTACTGCTATCAGACCGGCAATGTTATATAGTAGTGAATGCTGGGCTCTAACGGGACAGCAAGAGCATAAAGTTGGAGTAGCAGAGATGAGAATGTTACGATGGATGTGCGGACATACACGTAAAGATAAAATTCGAAATGAGCACATACGTGAAAAAGTGAGGGTGGCACCTATTGAGGAAAAAATGGTAGAAAATCGGTTGAGATGGTTTGGGCATGTACAAAGAAGACCAAGGGAGGCACCAGTGAGAAGAGTGGAACATATAACTTTGAGTCCGATTAAGAGAGGTAGAGGAAGGCCTAAGAGAACACTCTTGGAAGTTGTTGAACGTGATCTCTTAATTAATAATATTTCTAAAAGCTTAATAAATGATAGAGCACAATGGCGTCTTGCAATCCATGTAGCCGACCCCACCTAGTGGGATAAAGGCTTGTTGTTGTTGTTGTTTGTTGTTGTTGTTGCATTATTTATGTATGATACAGATTTGAATTAATCACAAAGAAATTAATTTCATGCCCATAGTTTTTTGTTAAATTGAATAGTTAATCTTCTTGCCCATGATTTTTTAATAGAATTGCCCATATATTAATTTCTATTAAAAATATATATATGATCCACAGGAATTATCTCTTCTACTTAATGCCAAGAGACTTAGCATTTTATGAACTGAGATCTTGCCCTGGAATAACATAGCAATAAACATCCAGCTAGATGGCTAAATTGTAATATGAGTACATTAACCACACAGTTCTTGCAACTGCAGGAAAATAAGACAGGATATCATATTTGTAAAGAGCATGGAAACAAGGTCCTAACATAAATAGACAAAATTAGGATACCAAGAGGCTAGGAATAACAACAGCTTATAAACCATATAAATATCTCAATCAAAAATGGAAATTAGAATATTAATTGACAAGTTAATTGGTATATCAAAGTACAAATAATACTTAACAAGGGGAGGAAAAAGTGAAGGAGGGAGAGGAAACGAGGGCCAAAGCAAATGAAAGATCGATAAGAATTGTTTTTTTTTTTTTGGGGGGCGGGTTAGTTGACAATAATTTCACTTGCAAACATATCTAGAGTGTAGATGATGTATTCCAATGGCAGCTCAATAGCATGTCGAAAGAACACAAAGTACTCCAGTAAATAAAAGTATAAACACATTTAACTGAGTGTTTGATGGATGTTTTGAATAACCATGCTTAGTCAAAGATGTTGTACTTGGCAATTATGCTATCATAAGCAACGACTGCAAATTATACTACAACTCAAGCCCTGCTTACTTAACAAATATGTATGGGTGGACAATATGAAGTGGATGGAATAAAGATAGTCAGTTTGAAGTCAAGGCTAGTCTTCTGCTAGATTTTCCCCCATTTTCACCTTTACTGTTCAGTTTTAGTTTTCATGCATCTTCAATCAACTTTTAACATCAACATACTAGTTAAACTAGAGGTAATCTCTCACTGCTTTACCAAACAACCCAGTCAAATTTTCCAAAAACATTGTAATTCTTTCTCTGCCTTACCTTAAACTCTAAATGCTTCCAGATTCCAGATAACTGTCATGTGAATTCGTTTCTCTCACTACTTGATTAGCAGATCTACTTTCTGGTCAAAGGGTCATGCAATTTTTTATTCGGGCCCGGTCTTTTAAGCAATATGAAATTAAAACTTAAAAAACAGGTTCAAGACCAAATAGAGATTTCAATCAACTCATCAAAACAAGGATATATATATATATATATATATATGAATACTGCATAGGAATGATCACTAACCAATGGGCAAAGAATTCAACAATAGCAAAAGTAGCAGGAGTATCCTTCAGAACAGCATCAAAATTCGTCGCATTCAAGTCAGCGGCATAATCTCGAAGATCTCCATTATTAACATTGTTTTTGACTGCTCTAAGGATCGAACGACGTGACCCCAGTGAAGAATCTGAAGTCACCACGCAGCTGATAGAAAGTAGGCTCAGAACAACAAGACCCAAATAGAAATACACCCCAGACATGGAAAATGGGAAGATAACGGAGCCAGAAGGAAAGGGAGAGAAAAAAAAAAGCTATAACTTCAGATTATCTGCCCAATGGTTCGGCGGTTTATAGGCAAATATCGAAGAAAGATGATGATTTTGAAGTGAGGGTAGAAAGAGATGGATCTGCGAACAGTTCCTTTCTATTGGCTTCCACACCAAACAGGCTTTGAAGTTCTTGGAACTTTATAGATTGGAGGGTTTTGAAGATGGTGGTAACTGGTAATCGATTCCGACTTACGTTACCTTCTTTGGAGTTGGCCCGACTAGGAGATACACCAAACCACTTGAAAATTAAAAAATCTTCCGTTTCCGACGTTTTAATTTGCGTTTCTTCCATGATCCTTCTGTCTTTCTTGTTTTAATTTTTATGGCAAGGGGCAAGAAACAGAGAAGAAATCCCCCCAAATATGAGAAAGAACACCAAAAATTATAGGTCATTTTTTTTTGGAAAAATAAATGAATTAACTTTTTAGTCTCTTGCAGGCCAAAATTAACTTCCTAGTCTTTTGGAGTTTCAAGGGTTAAAATGTATTCCATGTGTTAAAAAATTCTCCCTCCATTTAAAAATATAAAATATTTTTTAAAAAATTAAATATTTAAAAATATAAGATATTTTTAATCTTTTAAGATGTAATCATTGACTTTTTTTCAAAAATGCCCTTATTGATAGTGACTTTATATTTATAGGGTGCTTAATAAGAGTAAATATAAAAAAATAAGATTAATTTAAACGAAGGTAATCACTTTATTAAGGGGTGAGATTCGATTAAAAATATCTTACATTTTTAAATGGAGGGAGTATAAACTATTTTTAATTAAATCTCATTCTAAAAAGTATATAATTATTTTCAAACTAACATCATCTTTTATATTTATTCTTATTTAATAAAGTGTTCATTTAAAATAAATAAAAGTAATTCTTTTTATTATGGACACTTTTTGAATAAAACACATTAATTATATCTTAAAATTTAAAAAAAAATTATTTTTTAACATCTAACTTCTTTAAAAAATTTTTATAAGGGAGTATGAGAAATTAAATTTATTTACCATCTCAATTTACTGGTAGCACTAGCATTTGGTATCAAACTATATACGGTATTTTTATAGAAAATGATACGACTTGTGAATCTTAAACGCTCCCTCCATTATAATTTTCAAATTTCTAAAAGCAACCAATATTTTTTCCTAAAATGCTTCAAATAAATAAATAAAAAGACTTGACACATTTTGAAGGGAATTTTTTAAAAAATGATAAGTTTAAAATATAAATTATGTAAAACTATTTTATTGATATGTGTAACTTCAACAATTTTTGTTTTATTTAAAGCAACGGTGAAAATAGTGTATTTCATTTCTTAAATTTTATTTAACATATCAAACACAATTTTAATTTTTAATTTTATCTTTTAACTTTTTTTGAGTAATTATCTTTCAGCCTAAACGAGTTGAGAAAAGTTTTTGGTCTTTTTTTTTCTGGCAAACAACTGATAATATTATTACATAATTAATATAAAATACTACTTTATTTCTATTTGTAAGAAAAACTATAACTTTTTACTTTTTTTATATAAGCAAAAGTATATATTTCAATAAATATTTATTACATATTTTCTAAATTACCCCTTATAATTTATATTAATGAGAAATAATTAATGCATGCTTATATTGATGAACGTATAGTATTATAGTCCAATTTTTTTTATATTCAAACATAATTATTATAGTTAATCAATTTTTTTAAACTATGTAATACAATTTTTTTTTATATATAGAAACGGAGGAAATACCTTATTATTAACATTGGAGTTCACAATGCTTATGGTCAGACATAATTGACAATATTTATTTTCAGTTTGATTTGAAATCTGATAAATGGTTTCAACTCTCTTATCATGTATCATGTATGGTTCTAACATGAATGACACTTTCCATAAGAAAGGCATAAACTCCAAAACCTCATCAAGAAATTGGAATATTTGGCCCAAAAAAAATCAAGAAATTGGAATATAAATAAAATAAAATGCAAAATTATTTACCCATTCAATTAATGAGACAAATCATTCCAGTTAAACCTTCTGATCCTTATAATTATGAAGATACTATTTATTAAAGATCTAAGTGATGGAAATTTTTCTACCAAAGTAGCTTATAATTCTATTGAGAGAATGGATAACAATGCTTCATCATCAATATGGGCTGGGGGGAATCTAGAAGTGGCCTATCTAAGAAAAAATCAAAAAAAAAATGAAAAGCCTATTGAACTTGTTTACAAGTCAGCATTTCCAAAATTGACAACTTTGATATAGGCCAAAGGATGTTTCTTTTTTTTTTATAAATTGTCCACACCTGTTGGTCTATTTAGAAAGTTAGATGCAATAATAAACTATGTTAAAATTATGTAACAAATGATTAAAACAAAAAGGTTAAGCTACTTGTGGATGTCTCATTTGGGATTATAAAGGCAATTAGATCACAGGGTACATTAAAAAACTTGGTTACATGCCATGCACATCTATAGAGATGTCATGAGTCCCATGTAAAAAAACTTTACAAATAGAATAAGGTTTATGAGTGTGAGTGGTTCTCCTATCTAATAAACTAGTCTTTTGATATAAATATTTTTTTAGACTTGTGCTCATGATAGGAGATTTTTTTAATTCTTGAAGAATTAAAGCTTAGCTAAAACTTTGGTCACAGAAGAATCAATGTTTTCAATGATTTCTTGAAGCTTTGAAACTCATTAACTACAAATATTCATGAAATCACATGCTTATCAATTTGATTAGAAAATTTCAAGACCTTACAATATGTAATTGGATTATTACCTTCATCCTTATGCTCGTGGATGATAACAATTGTGCTAATTGGCTTGCTATCTTGACGCACTATTTAGACATTGTTGCTAATACCTTTTAGGATTTGAATTTGGTAAGTAACTTAAGTACATTTATTCAATGAGTGTTTCATGTAATACGATAATAACATTTTGATTTAGTTAAACATCTATTAAAGATTTTATCATATAATATTCAAAATATATGAAATCTCAAATTTTTTGGAGGATACATCATGAGTAAAGAGTGTTAACTAATTATATTGATTGTTTTGAATTTTTAAAGGGAAGTATATTCTGATAATTTTCAAATATTAATGCAATCTAATAATTGTAATTGAAATACTCATCGAGTAAGTATACCTTTTAGCACAATCTAACAATTGTGCTAATTGGCTTGCTATCTTGACGCATTATTTGGACATTGTTGCTAATGTCTTTTAGGATTTGAATTTGGTAAGTAACTTAAGTACATTTATTCAATGAGTATTTCATGTAATCCGATAATAACATTTTGATTTAATTAAACATCTATTAAAGATTTTATCATATAATATTCAAAATATATGAAATCTCAAATTTTTTGGAGGATACATCATGAGTAAAGAGTGTTAACTAATTATATTGATTGTTTTGAATTTTTTAAAGGGAAGTATATTCTGATAATTTTCAAATATTAATGCAATCTAATAATTGTAATTGAAATACTCATTGAGTAAGTATACCTATGAAACTCTTTGAATTCAAATCCTACTCTTCATACTCTTTTTGAGGGACATACTTTAAGCTAATATCTCTAATAAATTACATGTTATTGCCTAATTTCTTCTCTTGTATGATTTAATGGTGGTCTTTAGACTACTCCCCGAAAAAAAGAATTAAACTTTGAAGCAAACCAAATGAAATTTCATAGGATAGGAGATTGAGTTTAAGAATTTTCATATTGATAATTTATCTTTTGTTAAGTACCGACATTATAAAAAAAATACATAAACATTAAAATTGATAAGAAAGTGTATTATTCCTAGACTATACTTATAACTTAATATCAATTTTCATACAAATATATGCTGCGCATTCAAATTCAAGTAGTAGTTGTAAGATTTGAAATGTGAATAGTAATTCATTCTGATAAGATTATTGAAAATTACAATTAAAACCATCAATTAGAGTCGAGCTCATTGAGCTAGTCCTTTTAAACCTAAAAAATATTAAGGCTGGGCTATTGTTTTAAATTATAAAATGACGATTCAGGCTTAAAAGGGTTAGCCCTTTTATAATTTTTATTTATATTTTAATATTAAAAAATTTAAATATTACACTAATTCAAAAACCCTAGCCTTATTTCATAAAAATGAAGAAGGAATATATAAAAAACTTAATATCTTTGCCACTGATGAGGCTTCAAAAGGAAAAAAATAAAATTATACTGATATTGATGATAATGAAATGATCAAGATTTAGCTGATGATGTTAGTAAAGTATGATTGTTATCAGTATTGATTTTATGGTGATGTTGTTTTTTATTAGACTTAAATTTGTTTGTGTGTGTATTGATTTTCTAAACTTAATGTTATATGTAAAATTTTTTTTGGGATTTTAAATATGTTTTTTTTAGAAGTTTAAATTGAAAAAATGAAAAAAAAAATAAGACCGAGGCCTTGAAAGCCAAAGTAAGGCTAACCAAAATGGAATCCTGAGATATAATCGATCTTAACAGAGCTAATTTGTTTAGGCCTTAACTTGTTAAGGGTCAATCTTAATTGACAACTCTAATTACAATTAACAAGACAAGTTGTTTTTTTTTGGGGAAGTTTATAATTTTAACCCAACAAAAGGTGGACAAGTTATGAATCACGAATCACGTAAGGTGTAAACAAGTCTATTTCAAAATAAGTTATTTATTATAGTGATAAATTAAAGTGTTCAAGTCAGGAAGGCAACACACACATATCATTGAAAAGAAGGAAAATGACAACTGAGTTTTAAGAAGACTAATTAATTCAATTTAAATCTCAGTCAATTTTAAAATATCAATAAAGTCTCATGTTTTTTTTTTTTGACAAATCTGATTTATAAAAGAATTGACTTAAATTCCCTTAAGTTAAAAATGACTAAAATTTTTAAAAATAAGTTGTAAATTTATCCATTTGAAGTTGCAAAATTGAGAGTCATACTTGCAAATCCTTGAACTTGTTAGAATAATGACTTTTTTACTTTTCAACTTTAAACATTAATATTTACATTCCCTCTTAAAATTTAAAAAATAAGTTACAAATTTATTAATTCAAAATTACAAAATTGAAAACTAAACTTGCACATCTTTGGAGTAGTTAAAATAATGACTTTGTTAGTTTCAAACTTTAAACATTAACATATGTATTTTTCCTTAAAATTTAGAAAATAAGTTGCAAATTCATCAATTTGAAGCTACAAAACTGAGAGCTAAACTTGCAAATTGTGTTCCTTGTTAAAGTTGGAAAAATGAGTCACAAATTTATCATAATGGAGTTGC